ATGGATTGATATTTTCTTCTGGGTCATCATAATCAGCCCATGTTTCATGTGCTGTCATAATGTTGTGAAGAATTTTCTCACCTTTGTTCTCATAACAACTGACAACAATTGCTAGCTAATTTCAATTCTTCAAGTTTCATTTCTGCCATCAGCATGTGAGGAATTCATCTTGCCACAAAATTATTAATGCTGAAGATCATAAATAATGTGACCCATACATTTCTGTGAAATGCCAAAGGGACAGCAATTTCCCTTTGAGTGATCTATTGATTGTCCTTAATCAGTTCATCAATTTTCCATACAAAAATATTTGCTATCACAGGTTATCCAATTCATTCTTAATAACACAAATCATCTCTTCCCAGTTCACCATCTTTACATGTTTTTTGACTCAGCATAATGCAGTACTCAAGTTAATATAATCCCTATAAACTACTTGAATTTGATAGTGAATTTCAATTGAAAGAATACCTTCACCAGTCAAAAATTCATTTGTGGCACATTGCTTAAAGTTCACTGATGAGTATTCACAGCAAGTTTCTATTTCACAAACAACAGCAGTACAACCTTTTCTCACATCAACTTTCTGTCCACTCTAGTGAAAGAAAGATACACATCAGGGAAAGAAATGAACACCTCATACACTTCTAGTATGTTAGAATGTCATCTGTTCATGATTTAGATAGAACATAGGCATAACTTTCATTTAATCCTTGTACATCTTTGTACATTAGTAAATGCAACAAACACAATGGAACAAATACAAATCCAAAGACCTCAGTAGTATAATGCATTACATTATTAGAACAATCAGAATTCTTTAGCAACAACATACTACTATAATGGGAACTAAACTTCAAATTTTAGCTTCTTTTGCCCTTGTAATTCCAACTTCTATAAATTCAGTTCCTATTAGGATAACAATAACAAAGTTTTTTCTTGATTTCAATAAAGTATAATGGAATGTTTGAAAAATATGGGTTTTTTTAAGGAGAAAGATGGGTTAGTCATATAAAGGAAGCTACCATAATACCTTACTGGTTGCACACACACACAACACATCATTAAGTATTTGTTTTAACCAAGTTTGATTGCAGAAGCCATAGTGGCCAGCTTCTATATAACAGTAAATCATAAAACTCATTTTACAAATCAAAGCAGCTAGATTCACAAATCACCCAGAGCCAGAATAAATCATATTAAGATTTGATATAATATGTAAACTCAGCCACTACAAAGTTAGTCTTCAGTTCGTGCCTTAAGATTTATTTTTACAGATTACTATGAAATAAATGTTTCTTAGAATTCATAGAACCAATCAGTTGCATATTTTATTCCCTTCTTTAAAAAGTAATTTTCTAATATTTACACATACAAATATGAACAAGCCCTGAGATTTAATTTCTTCAGACAGCTCTTTGGATTTTTTTGTCTCACTCTTGTTAAAGATAGTGGGAAGAATATTTAATTAAAACCTAAAAGAGATGCCTCCTTCTTTCGCTAGTAACTGTGTTAGATCAATTAAATGGGTAAGTAGAAGCTGTCCCCAGAAGGAGTATCATGTGATCCTGTATTGGTTAAGACTGCGGTGGAATGTTATTTGCAATTGCATTGCATAATGGCAGTCAGGAAGTAGCTGTCATGCTTTCAAAAGACAAATTGCTGGCATCTAAGACAATTCATAGGCTCCCTTTTTTTTGCTGTTCTCAAGTCACAGTTAATGCATGTTCTACAGGGATTAGTTTCTTAAATCTGTCTCCTTCACTGTCTTCGGCAGTTAAAAGAGAGAGAGAAAGAGAGCTCTATAATGTAGATGACCCTGTATTAGAGACGATGTTAACTAACTATAATGTCTGTCAGCATTTCTTAATTTCATATTATTTAATAGGATGAAATTTTTAACAGAATCAAATAATATAAGCAAAGAAATATGCAGCAGCCTAAGTCACTAAAGACAGAACTGTAGTCAAAGAGGATTCAGAATTATGTATTATTACCTCAAAATCTTCATTTCTGTGGCATAACTTTATGAAGGATTGATTTCATGCAACATTGTGGACCTATAATTCAAAGAGATGAGTGGTCTGTGAATAATAAGTGTTTTTCCTGAGCAATTTCAGGAGTAAGAAGCAGCTCTCTTACTAAAGATGTGTTTATAGTGGGGCTAAAGTCCACACAAATATGACAAGCAAAGGAATATGTTGAAATTAACATTAATTCTTTTTAAAGTTGCTGACCAACTTTATCTCCGTGTATTAGCAAAGGAAGATTAAGCTTCATTTTGCATTATGTTTTTACAAATCACGTTGTATAGAATCATATAGCTAGCCACTTTTCAAATGCATCTTAATAAGAGTGTTTTGGAGCTAGGTGGTGACGCTCTCCTGTTCTTTTCATCTCTAACAAGTCAACCTGATCAGGCTTCTTTTTCTGGCTATGATTCACAGGCTCTTAAGAATGAAACGGAATTTTAATGTTCTCAAGACTGAAACACAGTATTCTTTTTTACTGCAGACAACCCATGCAGCTGAGTGCCATGATTATACCCAAGAAAAAATGAGCAGAGTCTGATATGTTTCATTCTTCCTAGTCACAAGAAGCAGGATTATAAATCTTAATAAGAGGTTAGATTATCAGATCTACACTGCCAAAATTGGACACCTATTATATGGTAGCAATTACAAACAAAAAATCCCTCTTAACTTTTTTATATTCTAATGTTGTTCCAACTTTTGCTCTCCAGATCTAATAGCCCTATAAAAGATATTATTCTTAGAATATATTGATCATATTCCCAAATTTCTTGTGTGTCCAATCACCCTTGACCAATAAAGAATTCTATTCTATTCAGTGTGCCAACATCAAATGGTTTATCCACCAAATCTTTTTTTTTAAAAAGTTGCTGCCTAATGAATTCCAGTTGAATTCATCTATCTCCTACATTTGACAAGTTAAGATGTGACAGGTTTACCTTTCCAGTGTTTATGCTTTACAAATTAAATATATTATGAAGCCCAGGAATAACATAATTATATGTTATTTATTCTGAAGTGAACTGCTAAATTTCATCCAGGAAAAATTAAAAGCTTGTAAAACTTGAGAGGTTTTCTGGAAATGCAAACATTGCTGTTTACCTCCTTGGCACTCCTATAAACCAATGTATAAGAAAACTGACAACTGATCATCCACGATTCTGTAATTAAACAAAACCAGCCTAGAAGAATATATAATTAATCAGAGGTTGTCTGCACCATAAGAGTTAAAACACCTGGTAGCTATATTAACTTCAGTTAAATAATTCATTATAATGACAGGTTCCTAAACAAAGTTCTCCAGGCAAAACTCTGTACCAACAATTCCAAAATCCAAAAGACTCAAGTCCAAATGTCTTTTAGAAAAACCATTTTTTCTTTTCCAAATCCATGTTCAGAATACAGAAAGAACAAATACACAAATCTAAATATTATCAAAAGATTTGATTTTAACCTCTGCATTACTTAGGGTTTAAGTGCTTACCTCCTTCTTTATAAACCTTCCAGTTAAGAAATAAGGAGGGTGGTGACTAACAGAGAAACTTTTGTTGTTGTGTGCCTCTTATTTGATTTAGAATTCCTTTCCTTAGGAACTTTCTCTGTTTTATTTTTAGAAATGGATTAAGATTTTATTTTCTCAGGCCTTAAATTAGTTGTTAGAACTGCACCATTTATCTGGAAGAAAAATTTAACAGCATGATTTAGGTATATCTTTAAAAAAATATTGTATCTGTGTTGTTCCAAACACTCCATTAAATAGTTCCTAAATAATAAATATATTCTTACACATAAATCTAGACCTGCATATGTGATTTATTAGATGTCATCCCTTAAAGGAGTAATTGCTGGTGAACATGACTTAGGGAATACCATTGCAATTACATCCTGCTTGTAATTTCCTAGGAACAACTGATAGGCTTTTAGTATGATCTACAGCTTTTATTATGAGCAGTTACAACTGATTTTAATTGTATTTTAATCCATTTTTTGCTATTTTTGCTTCTCCCATTACTGTTTTTCATTCTCTTCCAGCTTAGATTATCACTGTCATAATGTACTATGTTTTGTGTTTCCTTCTGCTAGAACCTTCCTGATATTTAAGAAAATTTAAAGTATGAAGTACTTTCAGTTAAGTATCATAGATCAGAATAGACATATTAAGAGCTGAGGTGGCGCAGCAGTTAGGGTGCAGTACTGCAGGCCACTTTAGCTGACTGTGTTCAGCAGGTCAGCGGTTCAGATCTCACCGGCTCATGGTTGACTCAGCCTTCCATCCTTCCAGGGTAGGTAAAATGAGGACCCAGATTGTTGGGGGCAATGTAAATATATATATACATTGCTTACTGGTGTACACTGCTTAGAGATTGCTCGCACTTAAAAGCGGTATATAAGTCTCATAAATAAATAAATAAATAAATAAATTATTATTCATAACATTAAATAATGGTTTTACTTTATAAAATAGCAGTAATGGTCAATCCCAGTACTATCCTTACTCAAAAACTGGTGTGATCATATATGAGGCAAAATACTTTTGGCAGATGTTAATATAGTCTAGCAGGGAGTACAACTATTGTATATCTTGATTGAAGTTCGGTACACTTCTATCTGGGATGTTATCCTTTCCACTGAGTGTGCAGCTTTGGGAGGGATGCACATGGAACAGTGAGTAAAGAAGAGGACACAGCTAGATTAGCCAAATCAACCTGGCAATCTATGGAATGACAAATGTTGCAGCCAGAGTAGGCAGATATTACTACTCTAGCTGCATGATATCATAGCTAGTAATATATTAACAACGGATGTGAGAGTGATCTGGTTGCAACATCTGTCACCCCATGGATCACCAAGTTCATTTGTGTGTCCCCTTCCTTACTCACTGCTCCATGTGCATCCCTCTCAAAGCTGCGCAATAAGTGGAAGATACCTGCCTCTGTTTATAAAAATAGAAAATTAAGATACACTTACCTTAAAAAGTCTTAAAATGTTAGCCACCATGATTGACACTGAACTTGCTGCTGCACCTATTACCCCAGTTATCTTGTCTGGCTTGGTAAAAATAGGAGGATCTCCATTAGCACATTTCACATCAGACCCATCTTTTTCTATCAAAGCTTGCACAAAAGTTAAAGACTGCTCCAGAGCATAAGTGTCCCTGGAACATGTGTCTAGAATCCGAACGCCCAATGTGACATTGGCAAGAAGGTCAGGGTCCTTATTGATCTGATCAATTGCATATAACATTGCCTCAAGCCGATGGATTCCCTTTTCTTTCTTGAGTTCACCACAAGGTACTCCTCTTTCTCCCTTGGCATGGACAGGGAACAATCCTCCCAAGATCACATCTCCATCGAGTCGAATGGAATGAGCATATTCCTGGCCATAAGTTCCTCGTATCATAGGAATTATCCAACAAAATCTGGCTGCAAGCAGGAACAAATGATGGCAAGATGCTAGAAGCTTTTCCTTGTATACCATTTTTTCTGAAGATGGTATTGCAATCCAAGATCCAGATTTTCTCCTTGCTACAGGAAGTAGTGAATATTTTGAAACTGCCTCTTCTGAAGGCTATCATCAGTACCCAGCGATTCGGAATATAGGACCTTGTAGTAGATAGAAAAGATGAGCTGTTGGCTGATATTTTTAATAAATGTCTTTAAGTAGTTTCTGACATAAAGAATCCATTTCAGTTAAGTATGCCAAGTGGTTTGCTCACTTTTCAAGTTTTTTCGATGACTACAGAGTAATCTTAGAGTAAGCGTTCCCAGAGTCAGGAAAAGGCCACCAATTCAAATCCTTGGATAGTATCTTGTAACTGAAATTCTCCTGAAGTATTAGAGAAAGAAAGAATGTTTAGTTAATTTACCTTAAGGTAGATGTTGCAATTTGTACTACTTCTTTATATCAGCTTATTTCTGAAATTTTACCCTCATTTTCTCTGACATTAATGATTACATTCACACATCAGGCTAAATTGGACCTTGTCCAATTGTGATTTGCAGAACCAGCTAGAAACAAGTCAAAGTCAGTCTTACAAATAACAAAACAACCATGTTTTATTGCTCTGTGTTCTGGTTTGGTTATATTTACACTTTTATAGATTAGACAGAACATTTGGCAGGGCATAAGAACAAATAAGAAATAAGCTTTTCTTGTTTTTCGTAAACGAATTTTTGAATTCATGGTAAACCGGAGAAGCAATAATTAAGCCAAAAATTGTACATAGTTTCATATTAAATTTTAAATAAATAATTCACTGACCCATTATAGTAGCCCCATAACTTACGGCTTAGCACCATGTGTGAATTCAGGCCATCTGTCCAGTGTACCATCAACGTGATGCTTAACTCTACAGATTTCATGCCCCATATTCCCCAACTATGTAATTCAATTGCCAGCTTTTACTAATTCTTGACCGGGACTCTAATATGGCATCTGTTAAATTTTAATATTGCATTTACCTACAAAATAATGATAAAAAGGATGAGCAATCCAAAGTCTGTGCAAATGTTTTTGACTGAAGTATCATGTGATATGGTAAAAATATCTCACTGGGATTTCAGGCCAAAATATGTACTTGAAAATGAAATAGAGGTGGTGTGAAACAGAATTGTCTGTATCAAAGAAGAAAGTGACTGTATTTAGAGAACAAGAATGCATGAAATATGTATCATTCACCTTTCTATTTCAATTTATATTAATTTAAAGAATGTCATCTTATAGGAAACACCAAGTTCCTTTTGCTAATTTAAAAAGTATTCAAACCCAACAAAGTAACCTCCTTGGTGCATCAAAAATATGATGCAATACAGTAATGTAGATTTTGTCTTACTGCACTACATTCAGATTCTTAAAGTACTTGCATTTGAGATAAAGAGCATCAATCTACAGTTGTATAATTATAAAAGCAGAATGTGACCCAGTTAATAATCAAATAGTTAAGAATCACTGGCCATTTATTTAATACTAAACAATTTGTAACTTGTTTTATTCTTCTTTCCACATAATATAGGATTGTGCTGTTTCTTGTCTTCTTACAATCCTCAGGAGGGCCCCAGTGAAGTCACCTCCTCCTCCTCCTTGGTGGAAGTGCCTGCCATTTTTCTGAGAGAAGGAGGAACAAAAGGAGCCATGCACCATAAGGAAAATTGCAACCCTACTTCCATTCCTAAACCCTATCTTACCACCAAGCATCAATACCACTCTTTTATCCTTCCTTCACTAGCCTTTACCATTAAGAGATTTCAAATTTCAGCCTCAGTTCCAAAGCAATCAATGGCTACTCAATTTTAGACCCTGCCACCAGCTGATTGAGTTCCAGGACAAGAGGTAGGCAGGAAAGAAGGCAAGGATACACAATTCACCATCTTCTCTTGTGCCTTGCAATCTACAGGTTTCTGGGAAATGTAATCAGAAGGGGTGATGGTGCTGAATCAGCCACAGATTTTCTAATTTCATTCCTTCAGGAGTTCTGTATCCCAGAATTCTATAAATTAGTTCATTTGAGTTACTTTGTTTCAATAATTGTTGTCCTATACATTCTAGTTTCACCCAGTTGAAGGTTACAAATAAATAGACACAAGTTTTAGTAATATATAAATTATCCTATTAGTTTTTTAATAAAACATCTAAGTCATCATTGTAATAAATTGTATCAACTAATATTAAACTGGTTTTGCACATTACTTTGAACACGTTATATGTAGGCTTCAGAACTCTTTGGAAACAGAATTTTATGTACTATATATTTAAATGTCAACTGAAATCTGAAGATGTCAGATTACCAGACTGTCATTGCTAATAGTTGAAATAACATTTCCTCTCCCTGGGCTACAACTAGAACAATAACTTCAAAATGGAGGTTGAAACAGAAAAATGAGTTTTTCTTTAAAGCTTTTTAGTGAATTAGCTGAAAGAAAAAAAAAACCTGGCCCATGAAGGGCCTCAGGAAAGCAAGTTCTTTTTCAGAGTTCTGAAAGAAGGATGGATGTATTATGCAGAGGTCGTGATCCATCTTTCTTTTCCCAAACATTCCATTTGCTGTGCAAATTAGAGATGTGCAGTCTAAAATCGGCCTTAGAAATTACAGACATCAGCATGAGTGCCCACATAGGTGCCCACAAATCATGAAAACAGAGCATCACACTGGAAGCGTGACCCTTTTTGCACTATCCTAATGCGTTAGCCAAGAGCTTTTCTTTCTGGTCCCTAATGAGTGTCCTGAGCTGCCAATCTGCTTTTGTCACACTAAAAAAGCACGGTGCTAGTGATCTAAGATTCACCATAGAATACTGATAGAATATTGTTCAACCAGCAACACTCTAAATCAGTGTTTCTGAAACTTGGCAACTGTAAAATGTGTAGACTTCAACTCCCAGCCAGAAAAGGAGTTGACATCTATATGTCTTAAAAGTTGAGAAACACTGCTCTAAAATGTTTTAATTCTATGATCCATGACAGTTTGTCTGCAAGGCTGAGATAGTGAAACTGTAAATGGTGTAAGATTAACATGGTGTAAGAGGCTGAAATACCAAAATACTGCAATGAGGAGTCAATCCCTCCCATTCCCTCCTGAAATCAGCATTTATTGTCCATATAAAGAAAGAGAAATAAGGAAAAATGTAGCTTGTAATTCATATCCTGTCATGAGTCTAATATACTCTAAATCAGGGGTGTCAAACTCAATTTCATTGAGGGCCACATCAGCATTGCAATTGCCCTCAGGCGGCCGGGTGGGTGTGGTCAGGGTGGATGCGGCCTACTGGGTGGGTGTGGAATAGGTGTGGCCTATTGGGTGGGTATGTCCAGCTCTATATCGTTTGCATCAAGGGGGCCTGTGGGGGCCTGGGCAGGAGTGGGACAAATCTGAGGGTCTCTGGCAGAAGGGGGTAAGGCCCCGGGCAAGTGCCAAGGCATGGTCCACTGGAGGAGCCTCACCGTTCCTCTCAGGCCATGTGGGGGGGCTGGATGGTGGTGTGGGCTGCCCAGAGCCCTGGGCAGCAGAGGTCAAATGCCCAGCCTGGCCCTTGAGCACCCACGGCACCAAGCCCAGCTCCACTTCCCCAAGGGGGTGCCCAGCTGCACTTACCTCCTCCTCAAGGCTGCTGCTGCTGTGCTTGCTCTCCTTAGCCAGGTTGCTCATGATGGGTATGAGGGCAAAGTCAGAGGGAGGCCCATTCCCTCTCCATGGGAGGAGACCCGGCTTGGTATCCAAAGCTTCCTTAGCAATAGGATGGGAGACTCCTGGATAGGCCAGGAGGAGGGGGCAAGGGGATGGTAAAAGGGCAACAGGACCGAACTAAGGCAGGACTTCCCTCAGACCCTCCCTCTCCTTTCCTTCTTTCCTTTCTTCCTTCCTAAGTACAGAGTCATGGGAAAATATTTGAGATGAGGGAGGGAGAAAAATAGGCAAGAAACACAGCCAGGGCCAAGGCAGCGGGGGCCGTTCCCTCACTGTTTCCAGGATGGCTTCGTGGGCCATATGAAACCACTTCGCGGGCCGCATCTGGCCCCCGGGCCTTGTGTTTGACATGGCTGCTCTGAATAAAACAAGACTTTATTCACCTCAAGTTATAAATGAATGGGTATAGGAGGATGACCATAGGAGGGAGCCTAAAAATGACCAGAAGACCTACAGTTAAACCCACATTTCTTTTGACATGCCATGATGGACAGATATCCTTTTCAGTGGCTAATGACATACAGAAGAGGGAGAACAGCAAAGTCAGGAATCAACCAATTACATATTATGAGCTGCACATTCAAAATTAGGAGTGAGTCAGATTTAAGTATAGTCAAGAGAGAAATCAGCAATTAGGACAGCAGTTTTCACAATAATATCATCATCTACTAACTCAACTATGGGGAAAACCCTACAGAAGCTTCCTCAATGTGACTGAGCATTTGGACTTCAACTCCCAAGATTCTCCAGGCAGACAGATCATAGATGAGAATTGAAATCCACAATCTGAAAGGCATTTAGCTTCAGGATACCTCCACCAAGCCATGCTTTTTTAAATCATGTTTTTAAATGAACCACTTCTGTCTATTTAATGTGAACCAAGTTCTTATTATTTATAAACCATAGTTATGGCTTAACATATTTATGTCATAAAGTAGGGTTTAAAATAATAAAAACTAGGTTCACTTTGAACTAAAATTAAATAATGCTCTTGATGATTTTACTTGATGATTTAACAAAGTGAACCCAAATATAAATTGTTACTACTACATATGTAATTAATTAATTAATTAATTAAGGCCTCTCACCTGTGATGAGGAAAGAGGGCTGAGCTAGCATGCTTTACAGTGGAGGGAGGTGGGTTGCCACTCAGAAATGTGCCCAACTGGGTTTCCAAGTTGCCAGATGTGGGACTCTATTGCTTAAATTGGGCTCTACGAATCAGTTGTGATAGTTGCTACTGTACCATCTTCTCTGCTGCCTAGCAACTTTCCTGCTTGAGCTCCTTGACTTTATATCAGGTGTAGCAGTGCTCCTAGGGGACTTAATCTCCCTTCCTTGGGAGTGGGGTTTGATGTGTCATAGGACTTCATGGCTACCATGACAGCCATTGGCCTATCCTAGATTATCTAAGGCCGTACACAGGACAGCCTATATACACCTGATCTGGTCTTCCTGTCAGAGCAGTGCAAATGTGATCCGAAAGTGGGGAAGTTTCCTTTGATACCCCTATCATGGTCAGATCACTTCCTGGTGGCCATGACATTCTCTGGCACTGCCCCTCACTACAGAGAGGCAGGACTTATTTGATCAGTCTATCTCTGGTAACTGATGGACCTGGATGGGTTCCAGAAGGAATTGGGGG